TCCAGCTTGGGGACTTATATGTGAAATGTAACCCTCGGTTGGAAAAACTGAATAAAAATAGTTTCACTTAATTGAACTTAGCAATATATAAATATGCTAAGAAATATGTACAGTGTTTGTGTCACTGGGTTTTAATGCCATATTTATGCCTGGGGTGAATTAGGTCCCTAAGAACGGTATTAGGACTGCTTTTTGAGCGATGATGCGAGTACTGCATTCAGCAGTGACACATAGCAACATGTGGCAGGGCATTTGGGCATGACGGAGTCCCCATGTACTGAATGAGTACCATCGGGAGTGTGGAATGAGCTGGAGAGGTACAAAAATAAAATACCGAACACTGGGTATTGTAGCCACCAGCAGTGGAATAGTTCAGAATAGTTAATGTCTGTGGTGCCAGTCAAGCCTTAGACAAGAGATGGGGACCTCAGTTTGTCTCCCTGGAATACGTGAAATGAATGAAGGTGTGCTATTGCATGAACAACCTGTCATCATAATCAGGTGATTAATTTCTTTGTTTTCCAAGAAATAGGGACGAAATGGAGAAGGGGGGAACCAATCTTGCAGCTTGTTACGGCTAATGGGACTCATCTCAAGAGGGATAGGATTTATCTCAGCCAATTAGTCACATTCCTAATTAATCTCATCTTAATTTGGACATGTGATACAGGTCAGATTAATCACTTTGTAAATGTGCCGGTTTCTCTCCACTGACTGTGATTGGAATCCAGAAGACTTCTTCAGATGTGGATGTCTACATCAGGCATCTCATTTAGTTTCAGATGGTTTATGTCATTGAGATTCTCATGTGCCAAACCCCAATGTTCATGTCATGAAATTTAACAGCCTGTAGTAATGTCAGAGACCGTATTTCGAGAACAGAATTAAAATGTATCAAGATTTTCCAGTAGACATCTAGTGTGTGGGCTTAGAAATTAATATGTTACTAGACTATAAAGTCCGTAAGACAGGCAACTGCAATAAACAAGGAAGGAAAGGAAATTCTGTATTTAAAACCACAGCACCACAACATTGGTATAATCTGGTATAAGTTACAACACAAATGAAAGATGGGTCATAGAATCACAGAACGGTTTGGGTTGGAAAGAACCTTAAAGACCATCTAGTTCCAACCCCCCTGCCATGGGGCAGGGACACCCTCCACTAGACCAGGTTGCTCAAAGCCTCATCTTGGATTATGTCAAAAAGATAAACCAAGGCAGAATTAAGTGCAGAATTGTAATGAGAAGAGTAAGTTTCTCATCACAGATGATAAGAATAAATACTTTAAAAATTTGGGCAGATGAGCACTAGCCAGGAGAAACTGCAGTTCTTAAATACATTGTCTGTGATCAGTGATAAAGAAGAAATATTTAATGAAGGCACCTGCTGATAATAGTTAATGAGACTGACTGAAATGAGCTTCTAGCAGAGAAAGAGTGAAGTTAGAGCACAGACAGATGACACAGAAGACCTCAGGAACATACACTCTTCCTGGACTGATCCTGCTTCAGGCTGTGTGAAAGGGGCTGATAAGATGATTCAAGATGGGCATGGATGAGGCTAAATTCACTTTCTTTTCCGTGGTCTGGAAGACTGTTAAATGTTCAGCCAGGCTCTCTGAGACCTGTCAATTCTGGGATAACAACATCAAAGCTATCCAATTTAATTCCTGGTTTGTATAATATTTTCACGTGGAGCTTTTATCAGAGGTGAGGTCAGGATGTAACTGTACCTCAGGTTGAGACGGACTGTTCATACACCCAGCAGCACGCTGTACTGTAATACAGATGTGCGGACTCCCCTGTACACACAGATGCGCTGGGGCACAGAGGTTGATACCAGCTGAAACAAAGTAGTGATCTACATTATGATGGGTTACGGTGCCTAATTGGCATGTTGTTATTGTTGCTACTTAAGTAAAATCCCTTAAAGTTTATTTCAGCCAAGATTGAAGTAACTATAGTACTATAAAACAGTTGGTAGGAACATTTTGTTTATGTAGAGGTAAAATATTATAGTTGTTCAGCAGATTGCAGACTTCCTTTTGTGGGCATTTGTAGCTATTTGGGACTAAGTCCAGTTCCTAGTAAAATTGGTAGGAATCTCTCAGTCAGTTCCAGAGGGACTTGTATAAAATTTCTTTAAGTTTTTGAAGATGCCAAGTTTTCTTAAGTTGACATTTTAGTGTTTGCTGGGTGCCTAGTATGGTGAGGACCAAGACTTCCTTTGTGACTCTGCATAACGTGTGCAACAATATGTTTGCCAAGAAATCATCTTAATTAGATGGGGTAATGAAGATGTTAGTGGATCTACCTGGTGACTGCTTTAAAAGTTGTTTGTATAGTAATATAGAAAATGCGGGGAGTAAACAAGAGGACCTGAAGTCTTAAGCCATGAGCAGCAGTACGACTGAAGTAGCATAGCAAAGACATGGTGGGAGCACAGGGAGGAGGAAGAAGCTGTTGCGTATCAGGGTCAGAGACTTGTGCTGTGACCCAGCTGTAGAGGGAGTTGGACATACTGATGCTCCATGAGTAATGCTAAAAGGGGAAAAGCTCATGGGCTCCATCGTTACGCAGGCATTGCACAGACCACCAAACAGATCACGCAGGTGGGGATTTTTGTGGGCAGAGTACGGGTAATGGTGACAATGGGAGATTTTAGTCAGTCATCCATTGGAAACCAGTAAAGGAGAAAACCAACTGCCCAACAGGTTTTGCAGTGCGCTTATGACCAAATTCTGAGATGGTGGGAAAGCAGTAAAAGGGGAAACTGTTCCATTTGATACCAACTCTAAGGGGAAAACTGTGATATTAGGGAGAGAAAAGGCAAGTTGAGTGAGAATTACCCTGCAATGACAGGTAATTCTGTCACAGCTTTCAGGAATGGAAAAGAGGTTGAGTAAAAGAATCAGAGCAACAGCTATTAAGGGACTGTGGACATAATCTCTTTTGAAATGAGTCAAAGTTAAAGAAATTGTTTGTTCCTCAAAAAAAAAAAGGGAGGAAAAAATGCAAATGGAGACAGCACAGGAGAAGGAGAAAAAGCGTATTAAAATAAATGTCTAAAATATAAGCACCTCATTTATATCAAGCACCGGAAGGAACCATTTAGAAAATTAAAACTAGTTTGGATTATTCAGAACAAGTGCAAAAGAATAGCAAAAGAGGTAGAAAGAAAAAGAATAATCAAAGAAGCCAAGGCCAAAAATTGTGAAGAGGAAAAGACCATGTACAAGAAAGAACCTGAGGAGGAACAGAAATAATTCTGGAAGTATATTTCTGGTAAGAGCATGTTCCAGGAAGGTGTTGCTCTACTGCTTAACTGAAGCACATCAGTCTTCACTAGTGTTATTAAGAACATGTGGAAAACTCAGCCTGGAATAAAGAAAGGACAAATGAGAGAGTACTTAATGTGTTAGGTGTTCCCAGGTTAGCTGTGCCTGAGACATGCTATAGTTGGAAACTGGAAGAATCGGCTAAATTAGTCTCATCCCTGTCAGCAATTATAATTGAGCATCTCAAGAACAAAAGTAAGAGAGTGTGTGTGTGTGTGTGGGGGGGGGGGGGGGAAACAACCAAAAAAAAACCCCACACCAGAAAAAATGGAAAACCTGGTTTTTCAAAGAGTGGGGGAGCTGTGGAGGGAGGAGGGCTATCACAGATTTACAGGTTTGTTTTGTTCCTAGAGAAACTAAAAAATGTTTGTAATTCCCCCTTACGTGGAGGGAAGCAATCAGCATGGGTTTGTTGGAACTATCTGGTATCACATAACCAGAGATTAAAATTTGTGGATAAAAGAAAAGGAGCAGATGTCCTACACTTTCACTTTAAGAAACTTCGGAGTGCTGTCCCACAAGACTCCTCTATAAACAAGCTAGGAAACATCAACCAGCGTCTTAATGTAAGTTGCATGGGATATAACTGTAAATCTGGTTGGCTAAGGTAACCCCCAAGCAGCTACTGCTGTTTTACTGCCATATGTGTATTCCACAAGAGTTTAAACACTAGTTTAATCACTATGGGGTTTTTTTTCAGTAATATGGATTATGTACTAGAGAGGATGCTTATTTGATTTGCAGTTGTTACAAAGTTGAAAAAAGATTGGAAGGATGCTGGAGAACAGGATTAGGATTGAAAATTATCTTGACCCATTGGAGAAATGGCTTGGAGAATAAGGTAATCCTTAACAGTTGTAAGTGCATGGTCACTGCACTTGGGCTGAATAGCCATATACAGGACACAGGACAGCTGGTTAACCGGTGGGTTTTCAAAGTGATACATAAGTCACAAATATTACATGAGTAGACATAAGTTGTTGTGAAAATGGTATGGATTGAATGAAGAATACACATACAGTCTGCCAGAACTTGTACGGAGTAATTCATCTGTTGTACTCAGTACTCAGCTCAAATAGTGGGTCCAGTTTTGAGCATCATGCTTCAGTAAAGATAGGGATACTTGGAGGGAGTTCAGAGACTGGCAATGAGGATAGTTAGGCAGCTGAAAAACATGACTTGTAAGGAAAAAAATTGAAGAACCAGAATTCTCTACCCTAAAAAGAAAGGTAGGAGAGAAAAGTTTTTAAGTGTGGAAAAAAGAAACCAACACAAACCAAACCTCCTTGAACTTACACAGATGAAGGGAATGATCTGATCTTTACATCCACTATGGATAGCTTAAATTCTAACAAGAAAGAATTAGTTTAGACATCAGAAAAAAAAAAAAAATTCTGCTAGTAAGGTAAGATCAGGTTAGGTGAGAAATTTAGAAGTATATTAGAGGTCTTTTAAAACATAGAAAACATGTCCACAAATGGTGCAAGTGTAGCTTTGTTTCACGGGCAGTTTGGAGATGACCTGCTGTGGACCCGATCAGCAGCATCTTCTCTATCGAGTGTGTTACGTTACTGCATATTATTACTGTGCCACGCAATGTTCTGTAAATCTTATGAGATGTTACTGTACTTGGAATTAATCTTATACTTTTTCCTCTATTTCAGTGTGTGCAGAAGCTTATAATCCTGATGAGGAAGAGGACGATGCAGAATCTAGGGTATTTAATGCTTTGAGTCAAATACTTTTTTTCAGTTCTCAGGAATTAAATTTAGGAAGAAAAACAGAACCAGCATTTATCATTCCTTTCCAAAAGCTTCCTTATTATAATATACTTTATTAATCTCTTGGGTTTTCATGTTAAAGGATCACTTAAAAATTCTCTGTAATAGTCACCCAAGTAGGACCTGATGTATTATTCTAAATTACCACACCTTTGACATGTGTTCTGTTAAGGAGACATTTTTGTGCAGTTGTGTTTGCCCAGATAGCACCTGCTCCTAAAAGTACTTATTTGGTGTCCTCATAATCTTGCAGTAGTTTCCTAAATACTCTAGTTCTTTTCATAAGGAAGGAAAAAAAGTAAATTATAAAATCACTAAGATTTTCCAATGTACTATATTTCTTTTATTGATGTCACCTTTTTAAGTAATTTACTCAGCTTTTAATATGAAATAGCATAAATACCACTTTTAAGACAAGTTTAAATGTTTATATTCTGCCTAATTTCTGGCTTGTAAACTATCAAAGAGGTTATCTATAGTATCACAGCTTTGAAACCTAGCATACCTTCTTAAGTGTATGAGTTGAATGAACAACTTGATATATTAACCAGGCATGGGTAATTTAGTAATCTCTGGCTCACTCATATGGTGTCAAGTCTGTTGTTTACTCTGTGAAACTTCTGATATATCTTTACACAGATACTATTTCACAAAATATTCTTTGGGGAGAAGTAGCAATGGCAAATGGCTAAATGTAACAGTGGTGCTTTTTATAAAACATGCATGCTCCAAATGTGATTAGAGTGTACTGGAGTAATCTTTATGCAGCAGTAGTTGAAATAAAGGTATGCAGAATGGCTGCAGAAATGAACTGGATTCTACAAATGTAAAGATCTCGGTAGCTTAAATACAGCAGTGCCAATGCTATGGTGATATAATGTTATCATTGAGAGTTTATTCAAATCCTGAAGGTTTGGAAATGAAAGTGTTATGAAGCATGGCCAAAATACTGTGTAAAATCCTTAGCTGAATTAGCTCCTTCCTTCAGCTAGTGCTGCTGTATGATAACCACTCTAAAGGTTTTTCTATTATATCCCTCAGATTATCCACCCTAAAACAGATGATCAAAGAAACAGACTGCAGGAGGCATGCAAGGACATTCTTCTTTTTAAGAACCTAGATCCGGTAAGAGATTCTTTGTAGTCAACGGCACTTCGCAGTGCTGCTAAGAATGAATTCTCTTGAACTTTTGAACAAATGTTCACAGGCTTGACTTCAGTAAGCTGTTATGTATGCTTTCTCGAGCATTTCATAAACTCCAGAAATGATGTTTTTATAACTGATACGTCATGTGTAGAGAGCTTTTTCTTCACCACCATGAATGGTAGTCTTGAAGTACATTAATATGAATGTATACATTAATTGTAAGGGATTGTAATTTCTTACTTTAAATCTTCTTGCTGTACATTCATGTATGTAAACTCATCAGTTAACTGGAATGTCTAAGTTGTTTCTACTAGTTACTTTTCATCCAAAAGTGCTCCATCAAGACCTAAAATTATCCCCCAAGCCTACAGTTTAGCTGTAGATTTAATTGAACAGCAAGTTATGAAATAGAGGGAAAGAATAGTGTTTACGTTATTATTTCACTTAATACAGATACCATAAAAACACTGCAGATCATTTTCTTCTGTGCAGATAATTTCCTTCTATTGACTATGAAAACAATTATGGGCTTTTAAAAAAAGCTTAAATGCAGTGAATGGGTGATCTGGATCAGACAAAGGTGATAATGCTACAAAAAAGCACAGGGTTGTTTAAGGGAGAAGGCGAATGAATCAATCAAAACATGCACACCAAGGCTGGGATGACTCACAGCACACCAAATGCTTTCTCAAGGGAATTGATACAGTGCTGTCAGGGGAGGGAGCATGGGGGAAAGGGAAATAATAATGTAGAGTTTTAAGCATGAGAACAAAAGGTTTTAACTTTGATTCAAGAAGGAGCTAATGGAAAGACCACCCTGCAGCTCTGTTTGGAAGTGAGGTGCTGTTACAGAGAATACATGTTAATTCATGCAGCAGGTTTCCAGCTCCTGCGTTTGTCTGCACAAAGGCTGAGCCCTGACCCTGGGTACCAGTTCCCAGAGGTGCCCTGAGAAGCACGAGCCACATAACCCCAGCTTTAGAGAACTCTGGAGTTAGAGCTATAGGAGGGCATCAAAAGGCTCAATGTAGGCACTAATATCTGTGCATTCTTGGGACACTAGGGATCCTGTTCCTAACTCCCTCATGCTGTCTCTTTTAATGGGTAATTAATTAGCTGTTCCACTATAATTGTTCACGCTGAAGTCACCCAAACATTTGTCCCTTCCACTCCAGAATTATTTTTCTGCATAACTTCAGGAATACAAAGTGGTTTGTGGGCATCTGCTCTGGGTATTAAATTGCTTTGTTATATATTTTCCTTATTGTGGCTGTGTCCTGGCTTCCACTTGGCTGGACCATCATTACATCAGCTGGCTGATAACATTTTGGCAGGCCCCTCTTGGTTAGTCTCTGAGTGTTTCTCTCTTATAAGCCCTTTGACCCAATGAATTATTGTGTGCTCCTAGAATCTGCAGTGATGCTAATTTTGAGCTACTGCTTTCCCAGTTCTGCCTTTACACAGTTTCTTGGTAGTATCTGCTTATAGTATCAATCCTCTGGGTGAGACCTGCTTTCCCTTCCAGTGAGAACTAACTGTATCTTCTGTCTAAATAGTTACCAGCCACATGGTCTGCAGCACAGGGATCTGTTGGCTTCGTATCAGCTATATTATAATGTTGTGTAGATGTAGAGCATTAAACTGTTCCAGTTTGGGACCTTGATAGAACTCTTCCAAGGAATACTGAGGGATTACTTCCCTTGTCTGTGAAGGTGGTCTCAGGACTGTGCTGCTGTCTCAATACTGTATCCCCTTGATGTTTTGAATTCTTTTTTTTTACTTTTTGCTTCTGATTCAGGTACTTGTAATTTCTGATAGTTCCTATGGTCTGCTCCAGGTGTTCAGCAGAAGCTTTCTTAGCTGAGTCCTCCCCTTGTGGAGCTCTGCAATCCAAAGCCTTGAAATCTGCTCCTGGGATCTCTCGGATCTGGTTACCCACCTTGGCCCAAATTGTCTAGTGGATTAAGAACACTTCCTTCTGCTTTAAATCCTGCACATACAGCATTCTGGGAAGTTGAATAAGATGATTTATCTAGAAGAGTTTTTCATTAAAATAACTTTACTCATAAAAGGCATTGGAATGCTACTGAGCTCTGAAGATAGCAAGAGTATTAAAATCTAGCCTTCTTCAGTCTGTCTTGCTCCTTCTATGCAGCCAAGATCTGTACTCCCCAGGGGACTTCTCCCACTCCTCCTCCTTGTTCTGCTGCTAGGCAGTGAGTCAAGAGCTGTGCCTCGGTAGTTGCAGTGATTTGAATGTTCCTATCCCAGCTCTCTTCCTCACCTCTGCCTCTCCACCCTGCAGCACCAGCACATGTGGTGCCAGCTGCTGCAGTTCAGTCCCTGGTGTATCCTCTCCTTCATCTGGGAGAGAGATAATATCTTCAGCTGCTAAACCTAAAGTCTCTGGAACAAAAGTCAAGCTGTGTATCGATAGTGTCTCCCAATCCTACTGGTTTTTTTTTTTTTTTTTTCTTGCATTGAACTTCAGCCTCTTTCTCCTGTAGTTCTGTGTATGAAAAACATTGTTTCAGAGGTCACTGAGTTAGAGGGGAAGAGACAATGTAAAGTGCTTAATGGCTTTTCCCTGATGGCCTTTTAGCAAGGTGTCAAACACCATTCCTAGATAGGGTGCTGCTCTGAAATAGAGTATAACAACGTGTCTTACGGCATGATCAGAATTACATTCAGCACATGATACTAAATGGAGTCCACGTTTTCTTATCCCACCCTAACACACTGTTTTGGTTTGAATGGAAGGATGAGATAAAGGTCATTAAAGTAGAGGGAGAAGCTGCAGTAGTTAGGAGATGACTTACAGTACTGCTCAGCATTTTAATTAAAGAGTCAGTCTGAACAGACAAGAGCTTTCACATAAAACTAGAAAACAGCAGAACTATTGGAATGTGAGACTAAATGAGAGACAGGAGAAAAAGATAACCTTCCAACTTGGAGACAATTTAGGACTTTCTAAACGCACACGACACTGTCTTGAGCCTGCGTTTACCCAATAGCAGTGTTTGAATATCAGATATGTAAACTTATGGGGAAGTATTTATAATTATCAGTATTTGATGTATGGGCTCTGATTGGAAATACAGCATAGTATAAAGGAACACCAGCTCTGGTACAATTCCCTGAGCAACACTCTATGTTTTAAAGGCCAGCTCTTAAAAATTCCTTAAAGTCTGTGAATTACTTGAATTTTCTTGAAACTTCTTTTAACTTTGTGGATTGATGAGGATGTGACCAGTCAACTAATGTCAGTTCAGTTGATACGTTAGCATTCTTCTCAGCTTTCTGGGGGCTTAAGCGCTTCCCAACTGGTTGCTGTCACTCAATCAGTTTTAGCTAGTGTGTAATGGTATTGAAAAACTTACTTGAAGAATATGGGCTGAAAGATGCGTGTACAACACAATGAAGGGAAGAGGTTTTTGCAGAGCTCTCCGGCTACTCTTTAGAGGACCAAATCAGGAAAGAATCAAGAGAAATTCCAGGAGCAGAACTATGTGGATAAGTGAATTAGAAGAGAGAAAGGTGCATTCTGATGTTCATTTTCCTCTGCCCACACTATTAATCTGTTAGATGAACTCATTCTTCTTCTAAAGCATGTCTTCCTGTTCTTCCCAGGAAACCTCTTTCTATTAGACCACACTGTTCTTTATTGTTCTTCTTGATTGCCTGCCACACATTTTCCAGAAATCCTACCATTACTTTTGTTCTCCCAGGGTTGCCATAGTGTGCCAGGCCACTTGCTCTACATGCGTGTGCAAAACATGTTACCACACCTTCTCCTTCATCCTCCAGATGCTGGATGTTACCAGGAGTGGAATAAGCAGCTGTATACCCTCTTTCTCCTCCATTTTCACTTCACGTAAGAAAACAAGTTGATGACCAGATGCCTTGGGCCATTACTGAGGATAAGCCTGAAATCGCTATTACTGGAATTTGTCTCTGTTCAGCCTAACAACTGTTGTATCACTAAGAGGAATAGCAGCAGCAAATCTCATGGCCAACACAGCCTTCTCTTCCTTCTTACAATGCAATTCAGAGAAGTTATTATTTTGGTTTTGTCTTTTTAGACAAAACTTTGCTGGGGCTGATTAACACAACAGGCTGTTTGGTTTGGCTGTTACGGCAGAGACCAGCAGTTAAAAAAGCTGCTTTCAGAAGGATTTGGACTATTTTCTTCCCTTTCTCATAAACAACTTCTGTTGTATTGCCTCACACAATGATATCATCAGTATAGTGCAGGTATTCTGGAGCTCCACCCTATTCCAGTGCAGTCTGGATCAGTCTATGGCAAATGGTAGGGCTGTGCTTCCACCCCTGGGACAGTCGATTCCAGGTGTACTGGACACCCCTCCAAGTGAAAGCAAACTGTGGCCTGCACTCTGCCACCAAAGGGATGGAGAAAAAGGCATTAGCAACTTGAATCGTGGCGTACCACTTGGCTGCCTTTGACTCCAGTTCCTACTGGAATTTTAGCATGTCCGGCACGGCAGCACTCAGTGGTGGCCACGATAGTCCACTGTTAGTCTCCCCCCGATCGTCCACTGTTAGTCTCCCCTCTGTCAGACTTACAGCACTGGCCAGATAGGACTGTTAAAGGGTGAGCGAGTCTTGCTGATCACTCCTTGGCCCTCCAGTCAATGAATCAGCTTATGGATGGGCATCAGGGAGTCTTACTTGGAGCAGCCAGGTGACAATGTGCTCGCCTGGATGGCAGCTGAAATCTTTCTTCATGTCTCACAACTCACACAGGGATAGGGACTGGGTGGTTACTGCATTGTTTATGAGTTGTTTCTCTTCCTCCTCCTCTTCTCGTGATGGCCCTGCTTTAAAGCAGTCAGCCTCATCCACTTCCTCCTGCTCCCTCTTATAAGAAGCTTCTTAATCTGTTACTAAATGAACTGGCTTCCACTTTCTTCTTCTGTATAGTGGCAACTGATACCAACACAGGTTGGTTCTCTGGTTCG